AGCCGGCATTATTATAAATTAAATTGCATGTCGACGAAACGAGCCAGTCGATTGATGTCAGTGAGGAAAAAAAACTTTAATTGTAATATATCTTATTTAAACACATTAATATCAAACATTATCGAAACATGAGATCATCAAAATCCGATGGACGTGAAAAAAATGTTAACTCCGTAAGACGACGACTTGTTAAGGAATTGCACGCTCTGGCCAGAAGAAATTTTCCACAAAGACGTGTCATAATTCGGGGATACAACGATTTGTAGCAAGCTGATATCGTCGAGATGCGCCCATATTCGAATTTCAATAGACGTCATCACTACATATTCACCGTCATCGATGCATTGAGCAAGTATGCCTGGATCGTACCGCTCAAGAGTAAGGTCGGAAGCGAGACCGCTAATCGCCGAGATAATTCGAGAGAGCGGAAGATGCCCGAAAAACTTGCAAACGGATATGGGGAAGGAGTTTTACAACGCCGATGTGCAGAAACTCTTGAAAAAACATAGCGTTAATCATTCCACGTATTCAATATTGAAGGCATCGATCGTCGAACGATTCAATCGCACACTTAAAAATATGTGGAAGATGTTTACACTTAATGATATTTACAAGTGGGTCGTCGCGTCTCGTATCAGATTACAACGCGCGCAAACATCGCACTATTGGCATGCGACCCATTGATGTAACTCCCGTGATCGCTAAAAAATTCTTGGTACGGTGTACAGCGCGATAAAGATCGCAGATCCAAAATTTAAAGTAGTGATTCGCAGATCCAAAATTTAAAGTAGTGATTCGGTACGCGTGAGCAAGTATAAGACAGCTTTCGAAAAAGGTTACACGCCAAATTGGTCCACCGAGGTGTTTAAGATAACTAAAGTACAACTAAAGTACTAATCCCGTAACCTATCTACTCGAAGACTATCGCGGAGAATTCGTCACTGGAGCGTTCTACGAGCAGTTGCATCGCGCGACTCATCCGAACATGTATTTCGTGGAGAAAGTACTGCGTAGGAAAGGAGACAAGGTTTACGTCAAGTGGCTGGGATTTGATGAGTCACATAATTCTTGGATACACAAAAATAATGTGATTTAATTCATTTATTGTAAACAAATATAAAAATATTTATATAAATGTATACAAAAAATTTTTAATTCATTTATTGTAAAAACAAATAAAAAAATATTTATATAAAAAATATATACAATAAGTCTTATTTTTCTTCCATTACATTTTCCATTACATCATAAAGAAACTATACATGATGGTAACTACGATGAAACTTAAGATAATATATAAAATGTATAAAACTACGGGAAATACGTATATATTAGGTGTACAAAAAAGTTCTGAGCTTTTTTTTGTAAAATTTAATCTTTATTCAAAAACAAATAAAAAAATATTAATCAGAGAAATATTCCCCGTTTGCATCAACGACCTTTTGCCATCTTTCGGGTAGCTTGCGAATTCCTTGACGATAGAAGCTCACCGACTTCGAAGCGATAAAGTCATCAATGCATTTTCGTATCTCTTCAAATCTCACGAAATGTGTATCAGCCAAATGATGCTGCAGCGACCGGAATAAGTAGTAATCGAAAGACGCCATGTCTGGACTATATGCCGCGTGTGGGAGAAGTTCCCAGCCTAACGCAAAGATATGGTCCTGAGTCGCTTTCGCAACATGTGGTCGAGCATTGTCATGAAGCAAGATCACTTTACGACATCCTTGGCCAGTAAATGGCCTCTTTTCTTCTAATGCATCGCTCAAATTGGTCAATTATTGTTGGTAGCGGTTTGCCGTGATTGTTTCACCCAGTTGTAACAACTCGTAATACACCTTTTCACTCCTACCAGATACAGAATAAAACCTTCTTGGCGTGGATATTGGACTTTGGCGTCGATGTCGAAGGTTGACCAGAGTCAATCCATGATTTTCTACGTTTAGGGTTATCATAAAGAATCCACTTTTCATCGCCTGTAATGATTTTGTGCAGAAAATCTTTTTTCCGGAAAGCAAAGTGAGTGCAGTGTCACGCCGATGATTTTTGTTGTCTTCGGACAATTCATGCGGAACCCATCTGCCTTCCTTCTGAACCTTTCCCATCGTATGTAAACGTACGGAAATGATTTGCTGCGTAATGCCAAGCTGTTCTGCAAGCTCCTTTTCAGTTTGCGCAGAGTTTATATCCAGCAGTGATTGCAATTCGTCCGTTTCAATCTTTTGAGGACGTTCAGCACGCGGTTCATCTTCAAGACTGAAATCTCCTTGGCGAAATTTTTGATACCATCTTTTATATGTAGTATGACTTACAACGTTCTCTCCATATGCAGCACAAATTATTGCAGTGGCTTCAGCAGCATTTTTCTTCAGATGAAACGCGAAATGGATGGAAAATCGAATATGCTCTTTTGTTATTGCCATCGTGAACACTACTGATTTTTGAGGTTATGTGCATCAAACGCCAAACCGTATGGCATTTTAGAAGGCCATACATACATACATACATACCTACATACGTACATACGACATACGTACATACGTACATACGTACATACGTACATACGTACATACATACATATGTATAAACTACAAGAAATAACAATAAAATACGTGCATACGTATATATTTATATGTATAAAATTATATATAGTATACATATATATGTATAAAATTATATATAAAAAATATATACATGTATATTACAAAAGTATCCGCCAATATCCCCACGGTAATGTTTCCGTCGAATCCGGTACGATGTATCGTTTGTCATCGTACTCAGAGCAATTTTCGACTCGGATACTATATATACTTGGTGTAACTTGGATCTTATACATGACTGGCAACGAGTCATTTTGATTTCTTCATTTAAGCACCGCATGTAATCATCGAACGTTATTGTTCGCGCTACGTTACTCTTTGTACCTTTCGCCTTTTTGGTGTCCTTTTTACCATCCACCCTCATCGCATATATTTTCGCTCTGAGTCCGACAAATGCCGTCATAATCGCACCGTTATTTTCGTCCTTCATTAGGCTGGGTACTTTTTATTCACGAGAGACATACCATATGCATTGTCCGTCGGATAATTGCTCGAATCTAAGGATATCGCGCTTCATCGTCTCGTACACATCGTCGCACTCGATATGATATACAAGACTGTCTGTGTCAGTGTACGTGACCTTACATTTGTTGCGATACAGCGGTGACATATACTCGTGGTGAAATTCGTACAAACATTTCGATATATCGAATATACACATACCCACATAAATCGGTTTGTTAAATTTCACCTCGAGTTTACGCAGGTTCGAGGGCGATTAAGTTTTCCAAAGACGCTATGGAAATTTGGTTTCGCGATCATTGCCTCCGCGCCATACCGTTCATCCCATTTTGTTATCAATTTTACCACGTGAACATTTTCCGAACATTTTCCATTGTTTTATCGAATATCGCGTTGTTTATTAATTTGTACAAATTTTTCTCAAAATCATTTTTCGCGCACGTTCTAAAGTGTGTATTGAGTTCGATGTAATCACGGAACCAGGCGGATTGAGCAAATTGTAATACGCGTATATCTTTTATACGAAGACTATGGTGCGTACATTGCTGCAGGTTGCGATAGTGAATAACGCTTCTTGTCATATAACGTCGCGAGAAGTTTATTCTGCCGCGTGCCGGGTGCTTTATCGCGCGTCGGACAGAAAGGTAGGTCAGTGCAGACGATGTGGATACTCGAGATCGATCTAGAATCGATCGAGAATATAATTCGTAGACGAATCCGAAGCGCTCGCGTCAAAGTTCGCAACGTCTTCAACCCATCGAAATTCGGCATAGGGCAGCGGTTGACACATCGCCCATCCGTATTGTTCTTGTCGTAATACATCAAATACGACGACGGTTTCGACGGGTCGTACGAACGCATACACTTGTTATTGGCCTGCGCGTATCTGCCGGAACAATTGATTGAGTATACCGCGCTCGATAAACATAACATATCGATGTCGGTGAGCAACTCAAATTTTATACGCATATGTTTCAGTATGGCGTCCCACGTGAAATCTGGCAATGTGTAGTAATGAGCAGGATCGAGACTGTAACTTTTGATACAACTTTCGCGGAAATTTTCAAAAACGTCGGCCATAACAATACATCGGTTTTTAAATACAGATCGCTATATTCGCCTAGAATTTCAATAGAGAATCGCCAGACGTTCACGGCGTGCGCGTAATCGTTCTCCGACACTGTGTTACCGGTCAACGAGCTATAAAATGATTCGCGCGATGGTAGGCGCGTGTCCTGCAGCTTGTCCGCGCGATCCATGTATTCATAGGGAAAGATACCTTTACGCGTCAACAAATCAAAATCCTCGTTCGGTAATGTGAAAAATTCGGAATGTAAAATTTTCAATTTCTCTCTACTTAAAAAAGATATCAATTTATCGAGACTGGTACTCAAAAATTTGTACGAATCGATGAACCGTAGTTGTACACAATTTTGCGAATCTGATCTGTCTGCGGTATCTTTGACATGTTTAGTGAACGAAATGTATTTTTCTTTTGTTATCGGTAGCATGTTGATCCTGCCTTCGTACGCCGCAACTATTTCCATGATAACAAAGTGCGCGTCATAACCGGATAAATTGTGAAAAATTGACAAGAATGCAGTATGATTTTTTATAAATGTTTAAATTGCAATTCGAATGCGCAGGTCCGCGGTAACGATCGGTAAGGTGACAATGATCGCGTACCCGCGTGCCGTCCGACGCAAATGATTTTTCACAAATGTGATAATGCGTCACGCTACGGTATATTTCCCATTGTTCTCTCGATAACGTTTCTATAGGGACATTCATATGAATAAGAAAATTTTTACTCGATGCGCTAAGTTTTCGAGTTGCCGAACAAACCATGCAACGCAGTCTTCGCCACGACGAAATTGATACGCCGATAATGCGTCGTCGTACGAGCATCGCACATAATATCCTACGCTAAATACCTCGCTAAATACCTTGCTGTTGATATGTATACGACGTGTTTTCCCTCTCTGGCTCCATTCTTCGCAGTATGCACTCTAGATTCGCATAGACGATGAATGGAAGTTGTTCTTTGTTGCAGTGGTTCTTAAATTCGAGCCACTTGTTGTCCTCGTTCGGCAGTCGGATGGCGCAATCATTCATCCGTTGGCAATCCACCGTATGCGATTCCAATTTGTCCGATGAATTAAAATAATGTAGACATCTGCAAACAGAAAACATGATTTTTTTTTAGTATTTTTAGCATTTAAATTAACAAGATATAAATATACAATAACAAGACATAAAATATTTTACAATTTGTTAAAAAATGTGCATACGTACCGATCACAAAAGTATTTTTTGTGTTCTTTTTTACTTAGTTGCGAGCTCACGAGACGGGACAAGTTTTTGATATACGCGAAGTGTCTCACATTATCGTTGCGCGAATCCTGCATGTACAATAGATTTGCGTATTTCTTCATCTTCTTTGTTGTCAGATGTATCGGGAGAATCTCCTTTCCCTTGATACCGTAGATGTTGATGGAGAAATCGTTGAGATGTTCGAACTTTTTAATTTGATTGAACGTCATCGGAAAAGTAATGTCTTGGAGATTCAACACCGTCGTATAATGTGGATACGACGATTCTCGATTTGTATGCCTTTCGGCCGAATGCAAGGCCGCAACTGACCATGCGAAACATGCATTGTCCGTTGACTGCACGTTAATTACCGCTCTCTTCAACATAATTTCCTGCGGTAACTCGATGTAATACCCCGTGTGCATGGGATTATATTTATTAACATTGATTGTCAAATTTAATATACGTGACAGCGCCCATCCACTGTCGCGTTCTTGAAACTCTTCGAGCGATGCCAACGTAGGTTCGATGACGTGCTGCTCGTACCACTCATTCACATTTGACACTCGAAAGAACTCACTATTTTTAGTATTTATACTTATTATTGGGCACGTTTATCACCCGTCACAAACTTGCCATTGAATGCGTGTTCACTTTTACTACCGTGTCTTTCTACAATGTCTCGCACTCGCTCGAGCACTATACCATCGGTGTCTTCTGAAAATCGTCGCGGCTCGATATAGTCCACGTTAATCACCGTGCCAGTCAATACGACTTTCAAACACCGTATCAATCTCGCGCCAAACAAGAGAGCCATTATCTCTATTGGTACTCGTGTACTCGTCACCAAAGTACACAAAATGTCTTTCTAATTGAATTTTTGCACCCGCGAGTCGCGCGATTTTCACCACCACAGATTGTCTGTTTCCAATGGTGAGTCTAGAACGCTTAACACGACTGAATTCTTCGAGCTGCTCGATGCACTCGTCACATCGTTGCAGCCACACGAAACACTCCACCAAAGTAGCGACCTGGTTGCACTGTTCCAGCAGCTCGCATTCCACTCGCTCGAGGTGTTCCATTTTTTTGTATATTATATTACGTCCCACGGAGCACTTACACTTGCACGTGATTCGTCCACAATATCGTCTTTCTTATGCGATGCAAATTGGGCACATGTTACATGGCATTGTTATATATATGGACTGACTGCAATTGGAGCAAAATCGACCGTTTAGCGCATCAAGAATATTTATCTCATGCTTCCTAACGGCATACATTATTCCAATATCAGTATCCATCAGACGAACCATGCATTCGGCACATACAATTAGAGCACCGCCCGTCGAATAGTAAAATTGTATTGTACAATTTCTATTACTATTTCTATTTCTATTACTGTTTTCTATTGTATTGTACAATTTCTATTACTATTTCTATTTCTATTACTGTTGTTGTAGCCAGGCTTACAATCAATAATAAAAGTAGTCCGCATGGCAACAAAATTAGGTTGCACGAACCTCGAAAAGTCTTTCGAAAGATTACACAAATGTGTGATCGCCGAAATCGCGACCAGTCTTTCGAAAGACCACAGAAATGCATCGCGAGAACATTGCGAAAAAGCCTATCAGCAATTCTTAAATTTAATGATCAAATCGAGCGTAATATTGATTAATCAATATCACGCAACCGATCGACGCAATCGATTAGAATGCTGACCGGGCATCGATCAGACTATATAACCGATTATACAAGACGGAATAGTCAGAGTCGGGAATCAATCAAACATTACGTGGCGTTCGGAATCGTTATCGCGGAAGATATTACACGAGCACAACGAAGTTCACGCGAGCCGTGCTATCAACGTCTCAGGTGACATAC